GTAACTGGATGCTGGCATGTAGAAGACTGCAGATAGACCCATGTCTATTGCCATGCACAAAACTTAAATCCAAATGGATCAAAGACCTCAACATAAATCCAGCCAGACTGAACTTACTAGAGGAGAAAGTAAGAAATACCCTTGAATACATTGGTACAAGAGACTGCTCTTGAACATTACACCAGTAGAATAGACACTGAGTTCCACAATTAATAAATGGGACCCCCTGAAATTGAGAAGCTTCTGTAAGGCAAAGGACACAGTAAACAAGACAAAATGGCAGCCCACAGATTGGGAAAAGATATTCACAAACCTCACATCTGACAGAGGGCTGATCTTCAAAATATACAAAAACTCAAGAAGGTAGTCTCCAAAATACCAAATAATCCATTTAAAAAGTGGGATACAGAACTAAATTGACAGTTCTCAATCTAGGAATCAAAAATGGCTGAAAGACACATAAGAAAGTGTTCAGCATCCTTAGCCATCAGGGAAATGAAAATCAAAACAACTCTGAGATTCCATCTTACTCCTTTCAGAATGGCCAAAATCAAGAACATCACTTTTTTTTACACAGGGTTTCTCTATGTAGCCATGGATATCCAGGAATAATTCACTCTGTAGACTATGGTGGCCTGAACTCCAAGATATGCCCTTTCTTTCTTTCTTTCTTTCTTTCTATTTCTCTATGTAGCCATGGATATCCAGGAATTCACTCTGTAGACTATGGTGGCCTGAACTCCAAGATATGCCCTTTCTTTCTTTCTTTCTTTCTTTCTTTCTTTCTTTCTTTCTTTCTTTCTTTCTTTCTTTCTTGTGTTTTGAGAGTGGGGGTTCTCTGAATAGCCCTGGCTATCCTATAACTAGCTCTGTAGACTAAGCTGGTCTCAAACTCACCAAAATCCATACACCTCTATCTCCTGAGTGTTGGGACTAAAGGTTTGCACTACCACAGCTCAGCTTTGAATCACTTTTAAGGAGCAGGACACAGCAGAATACAGAGATGTTTCCATTTAAATTTCCACACAAATCTCACAGCTATTATTCATATCTATAAGTCTTATCTTGGTAGATCTTATCATCTTTTCTTGAGATACATTCTTACCATGTAGCCCAGACTGGTCTTGAACTCAGTTTGTAGCCTAGGCTGACATGAAACTCAGTATGTAGTTCAGGCTGGCCTAATCAATTCAGCAGTGATTCTCCTGCTTCAGTCCCCCAAGTGCTCTTAGACTAGACATATACCCAAGAGAAGCACATTCATACAACAAGGACATCTGTTCAACAATGTTCTTAGCAGCATTATTTGTAATAGCCAGAACCTGGAAGCAACCTAGATGCCCCTCAACTGAAGAATGGATAGAGAAAATGTGGTACATTTACACAATGGGGTACTACTCAACAGAAAAAAAAATGGAATCTTGAAATTCGAAGACAAATGGATGGAACTCGAAGAAACCATTCTGAGCGAGGTAACCCAGTCACAAAAAGACAAATACAGTATGTACTCTCTCATATATGGATTTTAGACATAGAGCCTACAGTTCACACTGCCAGAGAAGCTAGGAAGCAAGGAGGACTTTAAGAGTGACATACAGCTGGGTACTGGTGGCACATGCCTTTAATCCTAGCATTCGGGAGGCAGAGGCAGGTGGATC